GATGCAACCCTGCCGTACTCCTTTTTGTACCCTTACTAAGCTGGTTAAAGTCCCTTGGGGATTACACCTCACTTTCAAGGTGGAAATGGCATACAATTTTTGTATGAGGAAAAAGAGGCATTTATCAATAGTAGTGCCTTCTAATTTCTCCCATAGGGTGTTCCTAGATATTGAGTCGAAGGCCTGTTTAAAATCGAGGAAGGCCACAAACAGAGAGGATTTTTTTTTATATGTGTATTTTTGTACTAGGTGGTGAAGTACGAAGATATGATCCACTATTGATCTTCCTTCTCTAAAGCTGGCTTGTTCATCTTTAATTATCCCCCCCGAAATCAGCCAACCTTGAAGTTTATAGTTTAGATGTTTTAAATTCATACTTTGGGGTTATGTTGTAAGGTTTGTCTACCTATCAAATACTATCATGTATTTTTTTTGGGGGGGGGGGAAGATAACCAGCACATCATTCCTCAAATTTGTGTGAACGGAAGCAGTCTATAGTAGCAACTGACAGCACTGCATTTGATGTTAGACCCTTAATTTCAATAGTCTCTTAGAAAGATATATTTCTTTATTTTGCCAAAACATGTCAACAATAAATCTTATGGTCTTTTGACAAAAATAAATATGAACAAAATATACTGATCCCTCAGTGCAATTTTATGCTTGCAAGATCACTATCTGAATTTGATATCCTCTTACATGCTGTAAATAACTTTATAAGTGACACACTGACGGGCTTCAATGGTATATGGAGGTAGAGTCTTGTTCCTGATGGATAGAAGGTGAAGAAGCCATTCTGATAATAGGTTTCTGGATGCTATATCATCTTTAAAGAACCATTAAGTATCTGATACTTCAATAATAGATACTTCAGAACACACAAAAGGGTCATACAAACCTTGCCAATTGGCCACTATCATGTTGTCATAATTAATTCTTGATGTGGTATCAAAGGGAGAAAACTATCAGAAGTAAAGTGAAGCCAGAAGAAGTTCTACTAGAGTTTGGACTTGTAGGGTGTGCTCAGCAGTGTGCAACTTCTGAGAACATCATTTGGAATTACAGCAATGTGGGAAGTTATGCTGGAATGTAGAGCATGGAGTACAGAAGACATTTCTATTGCTATGCTATAGAAAAGTCAGGGGCTCACTCTCCTGGTTATGCCTGTCCAATTCTGAAGTTTCCATTGGAACTTTCAAACTTTTAACCTATTGACTCCATATATACATCCCATTGTCTTCTCGATACTACTTACCTCCTGACTCTGCACCTTATAGATGTTGCTAGCTATGAACAATCCTTTTTTACCTGCTGCTTTGTGCATTTAGAGTACATTGTTAGAAGGAGCTGCTTCAGGTCCTGGTCCTGGCTGCCCCACTTTCCCAAAACACTGATTGTTTCCTTCAGTAGAGTTGTCAGCCCTGAATAGTGAGTGAAATCTACTACTAAATCCACTGATTAATTGTTCTAACTGTTAGGAAATTTCTTCTTAGTTCTAAGTGGGTCCTCTCGATTAGTTTCCATCTATTGTTTCTTGTCCTGGCTTCAGATGCTTTGGAGAATAGATTGTCCCCTTTTTCTTTGTGGCAGCCACTTAGATATTAGCAGACTGCTATCATGTCACCCTTTCTTTTCATTAAACTATTATGAAATTATGAAGCTGCTTAAATATTTCTGCAGTTTTTAAAGATTTTAAATGTTCTCCATCATGTCTGTGTAAACAATAAGCCAGTTTAGTCTAGTGGTTAAAGCACCAAGTTAGAAACTAGGGGGGACTATGAATTCTAGTCCCCCTGTAGGCATGAAGGCCAGCTGAGTGGCCTTGAGCCAATCACTCTCTAAACCACGGGTGTCAGACTTGCTGCATCACGTGACGTGTCACGACGTATCACGTATTGCCGGAGATGGAGTGGGCGTAGCCTCCGTATGATGCAACTGGCCCATGGGCCGGCAGTTTGATACCCCTGCTCTAAACCATCTCACAGGGTTGTTGTTGTGGGTAAAACAGGAGGAGGAAGGAGTATTAAGTATGGTCACCTAAATGAGAAGGTTGGATAGGAAATAAGGAAGTCAAGAAAGTGGATTGTTCCAAATGGGCCATTGAGATCTATGTGATTAGATAGAAAGATTTGTGCCTTTGTCAGTATGCCAGCACTACATCACTCCTAGTTTTACCATGCCGGCATTGAGTTTAGATACCTACTGTTAACTTGTGCCTTTAATAATATTAGTGCCATTACAAAGGAGAGCTGATGTCAAAACAAGCTGATAACTGTAAGAAATGCAGCAAATCTCAATCTCATTTCATTTTTTTTTTATTTAACAGCAGGCCAGATTACAGTAATCAACTTGAAATGGCATATGGCAATATTTTGAGTAATACATGTTTAATGTTATTGTTGTTAACAATGCTTAGGATATGAGATCCATGGCTCAGTTATTAATAATTTTTAAAAAATCTAGACAAGGGAAAAGTAAGTAAACTCTTAAAAATGTCATGAATGCATTCAGGCAGGAGTTAGTTTTACATGCTTAACTGTTTAGTAGTAGAATATTTAAAACACAAGTGAAATAGTAAAAAGTACACTGATGGATGAATAAATTTGAAAGTGAGAAAGGAAAATATTAAAGATAAGACTAGATCTGAATTTCATTTCCAGTAGCAACATTGGAGTGAATAACATTGGTTGGTGAGGATACAAATTAGGGAAGGTGGAAGGAGAATACAAGAGGTTTAAAACTAATCAGAACAGTTTTATGGAGAGAGGTTGTGGAAAGAGAACGTTTTCCTTCAAGTGAGTCTTGACTCCTGGCAACTGCCTGGACAAGACCCATGACGTTTTCTTGGCAATCTCTTGCCTCCTTCTATCTAGAGCTGAGAGAGTGACTTACCCAAGGTCACCCAGCTGGCTTTCTGCCTTGAGCAGGACCAGAATTCACTGTGTCCCAATTTTTAGCCTGTTGTCTTAATCACTACACCAAACTGGTGCTCTCAGAAGTTATATCAACTTCAAATTAGGTTTGGAGGAAAGTTAAGAATATTTAAATAGAGAAAGAAGACTCTTTATCATGTGCTTAAATTAGTCCAAAGTTGCAGTAGCTAATTTTGTCACTTTAATGACCAATGCATCTGCATACCATCAATTCTAGGTTCACCAATTTAAAATGCAAAGATTGATGTTTTACAGTGCTTAAGGATTTAGAGCTTTTCTTTAGATTTGTCTAGTTTTTACAGGATAAAAGACGACTTACAAATGAATCATCTTTGTGCATAAAGGTAAAGTCTCCTACAAGTCAAACTTAGTTCCTGGTCAATTCATAGACATTTTATGGATTTTGTTTTTGTTTTTAGCAGCAGGATTTGCAATTGCACTAAGTGCCAATGTACAGTATTCTGGACAGATTTCAAATTGTATTGTTCTATCAGTCACTACAAATCTGTCAGGCACAAAGAATCTGGAGATGTTAAGTTCTAGTTTAAAAGATTTATTGCTCAAGCGCTATGCACAAACATTTAGTCTACTAATGGTCAGCACTAAATTAGCACCTGATAAGAGTCAACTGAATTATGGGGAGGTGGGGGGATGGATTTGGAGGTTTGTAGACATGTAATGATTCTAGGCTAAGTATTCTCTTGACTACACACACACACACACACACACACACACACACACACCTCTCCCTCTTCTTCTCCTACACCATCCAACTGTAACATTGGAATATTAATCTGAATGCACCACATAACAGAGGATAGTAATTCCAAGAAAGGGGCTCATCTAAAATGTCAATATTCTAAGGAGCAGATGACATAACTCTGTATTACTTGTATATAAATTTCAAGAAATTTTATAAAACTAATCTATGTAGATTTTTGATGCTCATATCTTTGTAAAAGCCATCTTCAGAACTGGTGTATTTTGAGATTTCTGGTAAGAGATCACTTTGATAGAGAGTCACTGACTAACAATATCTGGGTCAAAAAGAGAGGCATATAATTGTTGGCCATTTTTGTGACTATTAGATTCTATGTATATACTAAGGACATGGTAATATGGTAATATTTATTACAATGGCTTTTTTATCTATGAAACTCTAAAGGTTGCAAACATGAGTACATTTAATGTTCCATCACAACCTATAAAATTATTCCCCAAACAGTAACTTAATAAAACCACTAAAACCTGCATTTCTGCTTTGTACTTCAGAAGTTTCTAAGTAACAAGTGATGTGGTATCCTTATTCAGTTAATTTTTGAATCAACAAAACTGAATTTACAGAAATATATCATTGTATCTTATTTGCTCTCTCAATTATGGTATAGGATAAAGGATATAGGAGACAGATAATCAGTAATAACCAATCATCATAATTTCTAAAACCAGAAAGTAGGCAAACTTTACATTTAAAGTTATAATCTGGGAGTATCAATTCATCACACTTTTCACATAGATTAAGGAAATGTGGAAATGTTGTAAGACAGTGTGGCTTACAAACTAAATTTTTGCCTGGTCCATCCATAAACCAGGATCCTTTGTAATATTTTTTTTTTCCTTATTTCAGTTAAAAAATATTTTAGTTAGTAATACAAAGCATGTGATAAATGTTAGACCATCGGTTTAATTTGTGGACTAGATTTCACTGCATGCCCCCTTTTGTAAATAGAATAGATAAAAAAATGTCAAGGAGATATCAAGTCAGATTGTAAATTCACAGATGAAGTTTGTCAGGTGCCAATAAGCCCAGAAGAGTTTATTATTGATACCTGTACAAAAATCTGGTCAACCAAAGCTCAAAGCTGAATTGGTGCTAGATAAAAGTCAATGGAATTCACGGGGTAATGGACTTGAGTCTCTTGTGGCAACACAATAACTCTAAACGTAATGACATTTTTAACTCCACCTTCCAGTTCAGCCTGCTCTTCTTCAAAGTTTTGACTGCCATGTATTTTCTTCCATTAACTATACTAGTTTGTTCTTATCATGCTATCTTTGTCATTATAGGTCTTCAGGTGGTGTTAAATTCCATTATCAAGGCCATGGTCCCATTGCTGCACATTGCCCTGTTGGTGCTGTTTGTCATAATTATCTATGCCATCATTGGGTTGGAGCTCTTCATGGGAAAGATGCACAAAACCTGCTACTTAACAGGGATTGCCACAGGTAAGTAATGTACTAAACTGACCTCCATTTTGGTATAGCCTTTAATATATGGAGAAACTTCCTGATAGTTAGAACAATTAACCAGTGGAACAACCTGCCTCCAGAAGCGGTGAATGCTCCAACACTGGAAGTTTTTAAGAAGAGACTGGACGGCCATTTGTCTGAAATGGTGTAGGGTTTCCTGCCTGAGCAGGGGGTTGGACTCGATGACCTCCAAAGTCCCTTCCAACTTTTATTATTGTTGTTGTTGTTGTTGTTGCCATGCAAACGTGATAATCAACTAACACTTAATATTACTTACTCTGGTTTGACCTCTCTGAATTCAGAGAGAAATTTCCTAGAAAAAAGGGATCTTCTGTGGCAATATCCAAGCTATGGAAACTTCTAGAAAATATTTACCATCTTTTAAAAAGAAGTTGGCCTATTCTTTTGTTATGTTTTAAAAGAATAAAGATTCTTTAAATAAGATTTTAGTAGGATATGTAAATGTTTGGAATTTGACTGAAATTTGATTTCTGAATTGGCAAGTTGGGTATTTTTTAATAAATTAGATGAATTTGGATTACTTCTGTAAATATTTACAAGCTTCCCCTCCCCCCCCATTTCTATAGTATTTTCCATGAGATGGATCCTTGCCATTGGCAATTAAGGTATGAAGTTTATCCTAGAGACTTTGGTTTTGTCATTAGCTTATTGGTCTGGATTCAAGTTAGCAATACTGAAAACAACAAATATTCTACTATTAGGGCAATTACTGTTCATAAATGTTAGTGATAATTGTTTACTTGTTATATTTATGCCCTGGAGGACTTTGACAGACTCCTGAGGGTTTATATCCATAAAACGGAAACATATAAAACACTTTAAACCAAAGATTAAAATAATTCTAACAAAAAAATGCAGCACAAAATACCATAGTAATTATCAAGAAATAAAAATACAAATGGTAATGATTATTCCTCAGTATCCCAACATCCTCCATAATCATTCTGTTATGATGAAGTCTTTAATTTGGCCTTTAAGCAGAAAGAACTAACATCCAAAATATTGTCTGTAGAACCTTGCCCTCCTCACTTCCTGAAACTGGGGGGGGGGGTTTGGTGGTGGCATATGCTGATGGGTCAGAAGGTTTGTTCTAATAATAATAATAGTAAAGTTGGAAGGGACCTTGGGGGTCATCTAGTCCAACGCCCTGCTCAGGCAGGAAACCCTATACCATTTTGGACAAATGGCTGTCCAATCTCTTCTTAAAAACCTCCAGTGTTGGAGCATTTACCGCTTCTGGAGGCAAATTGTTCCACTAGTTAATTGTTCTAACTGTCAGGAAGTTTCTCTTTAGTTCTAGGTTGCTTCTCTCCTTGCTTAGTTTCTACCCGTTGCTTCTTGTCCTGCCTTCAGGCGCCTTGGAAAATAGCTTGACACCCTCTTCTTTGTGGCAGCCCCTGAGATATTGGAACACTCCAATCATGTCCCCCCTCGTGCTTCTCTTCGTTAAACTAGACATACCCAATTCCAGCAACCGTTCCTTATATGCTTTAGCCTCCAGTCCCCTAATCATCTTTGTTGCTCTTCTCTGTACTCTTTCTAGAGTCTCAACATCTTTTTACATCGCGGTGACCAAAACTGGATGCAGTATTCCAAGTGTGGCCTTACCAAGGCATTGTAAAGTGGTATTAACACTTCACGTGATCTTGATTCTATCCCTCTGTTAATGCAGCCTAGCACTGTGTTGGCCTTTTTGGCAGCTGCAGCACACTGCTGGCTCATATTTAAGTGATTGTCCACTAGGACTCCGAGGTCCCTCTCACAGTTACTACTATTGAGCAAGGTACCCCCTATACTATACCTGTGCATTTGGTTTTTCTTGCCTAAATGTAGAACCTTGCTTTTTTCACCATTGAATTTCATTTTGTTAGATAGCGCCCAGTGTTCAAGTCTGTCCAGATCCTTCTGTATCTTAAGCCTGTCTTCTGGAGTGTTGGCTATTCCTGCCAGTTTGGTGTCGTCTGCAAATTTGATGAGTTCCCCATCTATCCCCTCGTCCAAATTGTTGATATAGATATTGAAGAGCACTGGGCCCAGAACAGAGCCCTGGGGCACCCCACTACACACTTCCCTCCATGTAGATGCGGGTCCATTGAGGACCACATGTTGAGTACAGCCGGTCAGCCAATTACGGATCCATTTGGTGGTGGTGCTTTCTACCCCACATTTTTCTATCTTGTCAAGTAGTAGGTTGTGATCTACTTTATCAAATGCCTTACTGAAGTCCAAGTAAATTATGTCCACAGCATTCCTCTGATCTACTAATTTTGTCATTTGGTCAAAGAATGCAATAAGATTTGTCTGGCATGATCTATTTTTGACAAACCCATGTTGGCTTTTAGTAATGACTTTGTTCGCCTCTAGGTGTTCGTTGATTCGTTGTTTGATTATCTTTTCCAGGATCTTCCCAGATATTGAGGTCAGGCTGATAGGTCTGTAATTTCCTGGGTCCATTTTTTTTCCTTTTTTGTAGATGGGAACTACATCAGCTCTTTTCCAGTCCTCTGGTAGTTCCCCAGTGCTCCAAGATCTTTGAAAAATGTAGTTCAGTGGTTCTGAGATCACATCTGCCAGTTCTATGGATCCCAACCATGTTCTATGTGGGAAAGGCAGTTCTGCCAGTCCCCAGGATCCCAGCCATGTAGGGCTTTATAAGTTAAGAACAATATTTTGAATTGCGACAAGTAACCTATTAGTAACCAATGCAGCATATCCAATATGGTTATTATGCAACTCTCATTCAGCAATAAGGGGGCTGCTGCATTCTGGACCAACTGAAGTCTCCAAGTAGTCTTCCAAGGCAGCCCCACATGCAATTTATTGCAGTAATATAAGTAAGTGATAAGAATAACCCAAGGTGTCCCAAAAAGTCAAGTTGATAACTGTGATGATGGGATCAACACTCCACCTCTTTTTAATGCACATTGCATATAAAATATGCACATAAAATATGATGGATTCTCAATCCTACCATCACAGCTGCCGTCTTGATTTTTTTTATCATACCCTGTGGACATCTTCAGTCACCATTTCCTGTGTATACTCTATATAGTCTAGAGAGATGTTTGTAATTTGGTGGACTGTAATTGGAGGCATAAAAGCACCTGCCTTGTTTAACTTCTATGTATTTTGTGCAAGGACTGCAACTGAGGGGTGTGTAACAGCCCACTTCCTCACACACACACTTATATCTCTATTTCCTTCCACACGGACCTTTCCCTTTTCCCAAATGACCCAGTTGGTAGAGCAAAATATATGTTGACTTTGTGGCAGTCGTATAGCTGTGTGAGACATGAAGCAACTTAAACTGAAGCAGAGATTTTCATGAATGAGGCTTCAGAGTGCAACATCAAAGCAGGCACTGTCAGCATATTGCTGTTTGTCCGTAAAACACCAATATCCAGAGAATTTTAGGATGGAGAAGGAGAGGAAGGAGGAGGAGAAGGAAAAGAGGAGAAAAGTACAATTAAAGTGACTGATACATTTAGCTTTTAATAATAGGAAAGGGTATGTAGTAATAATAGGAAAGGCCATAGGATTTTCCAATCATAGTTTTGAAGTCCTTTACCAAGAGAAGATATTGTCATAGTATATCCAAAAAGAGGGTAACAAAATACCCATTATAAAGTATTGTTTCATCCCCAATAGCCAGAAGAGAAATTAGGAGAATTTAGGGATCATCCCCTGAGCAAACCATTTACTAAACAAGTAATTTTTCCAACAAATAAATAAATAAAAATAAAAATGATATTTAATTCTGTCAAGAATGAACAAAAGAATTTTCAGTTCCTGTTTCTAATTTGGCAAGATTCTTACCAAGAGTATCTTGACAGCTTTGTGTAGTTTTCATCAGCATTCCCCGTCAAGCAAAAAGATGAATGATTTTTTAAAAATCATGTCAAAAATTTTTAAAGAGTGCTTTTACACTAAAAAAACCTCAGCTTGCCTATTTACAAATGCAGAATTGCCTTTCTTTTGCATAAGCGATAATGCTCAATTTTTAATATGTCTTGTGCTTTGACACACAGTGCAACACAATCAGTGACTAAATCCAGTGGTGGGATTCAAATATGTGAACAACCGGTCCTCTGTGTGGATGCCGCTTCCGGAAGTCCATTCTGGGCCTGGGCAACAAAAAGTTAGCTACTGGTTCCGCCGAAGTATTGCGAACCGGCTGAATCCCACCACTGCTTAAATCCCTTGTCTTCATTTGCAACCCACTAACTCTTTCCCTTACCACTTCATTGCACCATTTTAATTGTTTGATCTTTCTCTCCATTGTTTAAGATACACCTGCAGAAGAAGAACCAGCTCCCTGTGCTCCTATATCTCAACATGGACGGCAGTGTCAGAATGGCACTGAGTGTAGGGCCATATGGGAGGGACCCAAACATGGCATTACCAACTTTGACAACTTTGCCTTTGCCATGTTAACTGTGTTTCAATGCATCACCATGGAGGGCTGGACAGATGTACTCTACTGGGTATGTATAAAATTAGTTTATGGCCGGAAGATGCACGCCTCTTTTGCCATGCTCAGGACATGGGGCAGACATTGTCATGCTATTGTGCTGCTCACTGTATTGTTGTCATGCAAATCACCTCCTAAACTGTTAAGTCAAACTAATGCAGTGCATTAAAGAGGTAGAATGACTGCCTGTTGCTATTGCATACATTCCTTTTGACATTAATTTTCTACTAACATGTTATTTGTTTGTTTTATGCACTTTTGCTGCATTCTTCCTAGAATTCTTACAAGATAAAGATAAAGGATAAAATTCAGTAACCAAATATATACCCAACATGAGCTTAATTTATTTTAGGGTAAACAAAATTAGGTAAAGCACAGAAAAGAGTAAGAAATAGTGAGCTGAAGAAATTAAGTAATGAGATTAAAATGAGAGAGAAACAGAAAGAGACAGAAATAGAGTGAAAACTAGTTTATACTATCGTTTATTTTCTCACATATTTTTCTATGTCTGCAATCTTGCTTTCATAATGTCCATGTACAATACTGATTCATACAATGCTTTGATTTTTAAACTTTTCAACACTCAGTTCTTGAGGCTTTATCCATCCAATCACAACTTTCTCATTCAGGCTCTAAAATATCATACCTAGAATTGAGAGCAAAAATATCTTTAAAGTGAATGAGTTTCCTCAGCAGCATTTCGCAGTTGGGGTATGGAGTCATCTTTCAAGGCAGGCAAGATGGCAGATACATTGTTATGATGTAAACTTCATTCACATCTTGCTTGTTTTCACTTTTTTTCCCTCACACACAAACAAAAAAACATCTGCAGACATCACTCTCCTTATTGAAGCCTTTTCTGTGGTATGGCATAGGTTCCATTTAGACATGGCACTTATAATCTGTTAAAACCCCCCCCCCGAATTTCAAATAATAAATGTATATATGGATATATATGATATATCTAGCCACTTAGAGCTGACATAAGTGAGAATGATTTCTATCACTCATTCCTTCTATCCCAATGTTTTTCAGCCTTGGCAACTTTAAGATATATGGATGTCAATTCCCAGAATTTCTCAGCCACCATGGGGAATTCTGGGAGTTGAAGTCAGCTCATCTTAAAGTTGACAAGATTGAAAACACTGTTCTACCCTGACCCTGATAAATCTCCAGGGTTAAAAAAATTCTTCCTTTAGAGCAGGGGTGGGTCATATTAGAAACTGGGAGTGTTATGGAGGGCCAAACCAATAGGACTGTGAAGGTACTATATAAATTGAAAAAAGAATAGCAGTTGCCTTTGGAATAAAAGCAATACACTCAGGCAAGACAGGGACAGCCAAATGGATGTGGCCTGAGGGCTGTAAAATGCCCAAATCTGCTTTAGAGTTTATGCCAAGGTTTTGCTCCAAATTCCTTGTAACATTGCAAAAGATCCCGGGCTATACAGCAGAAATTGTGCTTTCTCTAAAAGGACACTGCTTAAGCAGCTGCCTTGGTTGCATGAACAATTTGCCTTACCCTGTTGCTGAGTAGATAATAGCTTAAGAAAGATAGGAAACAAGCTTGAAGATCCAATAGAGCAGATATAGGCGTGCTGACCTGTAAAAATCCCCCCCCCCAATCCTCCAACATCTTTGAAATTGCATTCTTGAGTTTCATTGGGAAAGCTTGAAACTGAAGTCCACAGTTGCCCTGGAAACTCCTGTCAGGAAATCAAATTGGGGAAAAAAATAGGCAATAGATATAATTTACTTTCCTGACAGCCTTGACATGTTCTGTGAGCTTGTCTCATCCCTTTACATCCTGTTGAAACCTATTGAGCAAAATGCAGTGAGAAATGCAGTGATATTAACACAAAGTCCCTCCACTTAAAAAAAAGTCACACAGAGAAACATCACCCCACAATTTTTGCCAGCTGTGTTTATGCTTTCTTACCCTTTCTCCTTAAGAGTACACATGCTTGAATTAGCACAGTCTTCACATGCAAAGGAATTGTCTGCTGTGCACAACTCAGCTCACTGCATGCTTCCTCTCCATGTATTTAATAAGGAAGAACCAGTGCTTTGTTTGAGATTGGCTTGTTTAAAAGGAAAAAATAAAAAACAAATCACAGCAAATTTTGCACGGCAGTAAAATATATCATATAAGTCAAGAAAAGAAAAAATGCATGCAGTCAGCTCTGATGAATTCCAGCCATCTCTGTTACAAAGAAATGAATGTCTTGGGTACCCATCTTTTATGCTAGTAATGAATCATGAGGCTAAGACAATTGGTCCCAATTCAGGGGGCATCATCTGCAAATATCATTTTGTTTTATTTTGTTTAGATTTCCAAGGGCCTACTGGGACTACAGTTTTTAAAAACATAGTCAAAATTATTCAACAAGAGGCTCCCCCCTTCCAAAAAAATATAGTATATTGTACCTTCTTCAAAGGAAACTAAATGTAATGGATTACTTATTGGTGAATATTGAAAAAATGTGTTCTAGAAATTAATTGGAAAAGAAGGTACTTTTTACAGCCTAACTGCTAATACTCTACTTGTATCATAAGGGATATATTTCAGAAAATATAGTTTATGCTTTCCCTACACACCAGAATCATAAACCATGGTTTAATGGTCCTGCGGGGAAATAAAAGGAAATTGATTTTCCCCAAAATGAGAGAGAGGATTGCAGTGAACTTCCTGAGGAGCATGGTATTTCATGCTTATTCCAGGCTTGTTCACTTAATTTAAACCATGGTTTCATTACAGTTATAACAAAACAAGACATTTCTGTGACTTGACTTAACAACAAAAAGAAATTCCTATCCAGTGTCCTGCGGGTGGGAAGGATGTCTTCAATATTCTTCTCTTTCTCTTTACTATATGCTATATTATTTTACTCCTTTCCCATTCTTTTCTCAACTGATCTTTTCAATCTTACTTGAAAACAATTTGGGTGCCAATATGGAAGACTGAGTGTTGATGATAATAGTGGATATTTATTCCAAAAGACAGCAAAACATGCTATAAGGAGAGATTATAATTCAATGGAGATGCTAGGAGGTTATGCAGGAGATCTATAAGGTGTGATCAAAGAAGAACCATATAAAAAGAGACAGAACCTCAATCACACTTTTGTGGTTTCCTTCTTGACTTTTTTTTCCAAGCATACCCTAGAACAGTGTTTCTCCATGTCAACAGCTCTAAGATGTGTAGACATCATTGCTCAGAATTCCCCAGCCAGCATGCTAGCTGGGGAATTCTGAAAGTTGAATGCCATACATCTTAGACTTGCCAAGGTTGAGAAACACTGTCCAAGGGAATCCTGAGGAGATTATAGCCTTGTTGCATGCATATTTAATTTTCATCAAGAGGATCATTTGCCAGGTGATGGAAAGTATTTCCAGGTTCAGGCCTTGGGAAAACTTTTCCTCCACCGGATTACATGGAGACAAATAGTTCAGGGAAGCATCTTTATTCCTATTAGCCATAGATATATTTGTGTATGGCTAATAAAACAAATGGAGGCTAAAACATATATAAAATGTTTTAGGAATTGGATATGTCTAGTTTAATGAAAAGAAGGACCGGGGTGACATGATAGCAGTCTTCCAATATCTAAAGGGCTGCCACAAAGAAGAGGGGATCAACCTATTCTGCAAAGCATCTAAAGCCAGGACAAGAAGCAATAGATGGAAACTAATCAAGAAGAGAACCAACCTAGAAATAAGGAGAAATTTCCTGAGAGTGAGAACAATCAGTGGAACGTCTTGTCTTCAGAGGTTGTGGGTGCTACATCACTGGAAGTTTTTAGGAAGGGATTGGACAACCATTTGTCTGAAATAGTATAAGGTCTTCTGCTTGAGGTGGTTGGACTAGAAGACCTTCAAGGTCCCTTCCAATTCTGTTATTCTGCGTATGCATTTGGGAGGGCATCTGTTTTCCTCTACTACAGTGGTTCTCAACATTTTTAATGCCGCGACCCCCAACCGGTCATAAGTCGAGGACTACTCAACCATTGTAAGTCGAGGACTACTCAACTGGTGCAGCACCGTTTGCAGAATGGGACTTTTGGTGGGTTCAGCAGGGCAGAGACAGCCTGGACAATTCCTATTGGCTTTTGAAAGCCAATAGAATTAGACTCTATTCAAGAGAGTCTATTCTATTGGCTTTCAAAAGCCAATAGAATAAAAGGGAGTAGCACAGCTAAGGAAAAGGGGGAAAAAATGGCGGACTGCGTTGTTTGGCGACCCCTGTGAAATGGTCGTTCGACCCCAAATGGGGTCCCGACCCACAGGTTGAGAACCACTGCTCTACTATATCTCTGGTCAACTATAGTAATTCAGTTTGATATAGAATAGAATTCTTTATTGGCCAAGTGTGTTTGGACACACAAGGAATTTGTTTCTGGTGCATAAGCTCTCAGTGTACATACAAGTAATAGTGATAATCATGATCATATACAACATGAAAATGCATTCATCATAAATCGTGAAATACAACACTTCATCATAAATCATAAGATGCAACACTTAGTGATAGTCATAGAGTACTAGCTAAACAAACAACATAAATCATACTAGGGTATAAAAACAATATATTGTAAGATACAAGTAGCAAAGTTATAGTCATAAGAAGATAAGGATAGGTAATAGGAAAGATGAGGAGTATCATAGTAATACAGCTTTACTAAGTAGTTTGACAGTGTGGTAGGAATTACTTGCTAAGCAGAGTGGCAGCATGGGAAAATTTCAAGGTGAAAGAAAAAAAGTTTCTCTTCTCCTGTGAGATGCAGATATTAATAGATGTTAAAAAGAAGGATTTAGTAAGCCAATTGCATGAGAGATGTGGCTGCTAAAAACAAAATAAGGAATTATAATTCCACAATGTAAAATGTATGGGAATCTTGGTTAAAGGAATGTAAATGACCTGCTGCTAACCCATTTAGAGCATTACAGGTTATTACTAATATCTTCTGCTGAGAAATGTGCCATATAAACTGCACTGATGACACATACATTATGT